TTGGAGTCATCGTGGATAGTTCTCTGAAGACGTCCACGCAGTGTGCAGCGGCAGTCAAAAAAGCAAACAGGATGTTAGGAATCATTAAAAAGGGGATAGAGAATAAGAGGGAGAAAACTTGTTCTCCTGGACCTCTGAGGACAGGACAAGAAGCAATGGGCTTCGGGGTGGGAGAAAACCTCCTCCTACTGGGTTGTTGCTAGATGTGGCCTGGCATGTCCTGCCCATCGGGGCTCCCATTGTCTTTCTGCATCCTCCGCTGCCGTGGGTGGGTGTCAGGCAGTCCTTGAGCGACCTATTCATGCCATCCCAGGCCATGCACAGCAATGCGAAGCGCAGAGGGAAACTGAGGCACACACGGGCATCATACACATTACCAAACTTCCCCCTTGGTCCCAGAGAGACGGATGGGAGTGGAGAGCCGGTAAGGGGTGTGCCCCTCACAGAGGGAGGGTAGGAACTCAGCCAGCACCAGGCTAACACTCTCACTGTCCCTGGGGCAGAGGCCATTCGGCAGAGTAACCAGATGCTGCGGCAGCGCTACCAGGAGTTCCTGCGCTTCAAGGCCGCACAGCGCAAGGAGAAGGACTTCCTGATGCTCCGTTTCCGGGAGGCCCGGGATGTGGTGGAGAAGCTGAACGCTGAGCGGACCGAGATGAAGTGTCAACTGGAGCAGGCCCTCTGGGAGGTGGAGCAGCTCAAGGGAAGGCAGCAGGTATCCGGAGAGCTTCCTACCCCCCCACAACAAGGGGAAAGGGGGGTTGCAGGGGCATGCTGTGTCACCTCCCCCCAACACCAAGCCCATGAGGTGGTCTCACCTGGGCACTGAGCTCTCTGCGGTTCCCCGGCCCAGTTCCTTTCTGCAGCAGGGCCATGGGGCGTCGGGAGGTAGGTCAGGACAGCGGCCTCTTCTCAGATGACTGAGTCTTTTGCAACTTCCCAGCTGAGCGCCCTGGAGAAGGAGATCCCTGAGCCAGAGGAGGCTGACACTATGACCCTGACCCAGGAGTTGGCTGAGCCCATGATGGTGAGACACACCTGGGGGGGGGAGGGGGGAAATCTCCCCTAACCCAGCTCCCAATTCCCTGAGGAACAGAATACCCCACCCCCAAAAGTCCCTTCTTTGCCTCATCCACAGCTGTGCTAGTGAGAGAGTAGAAGGAAAAAGGCCCATCGGGGGCCCTCTGGCCTGGGAGGAGCTCCTGGCTACTCCAGCCCTGGCCTCTCGCAGCAGGGGGCGGGGTGGGAGCGCTGGCTTGTGGGGAGGGGGGGGAGCAGCCTGTGATGTCTGTCCCTCACTCTCCCTGTTCCCCCAGGCCCCTGGCCCGGAGACCCTGCAGCTGCTGAAGGAGCAGCTGGAGCAGCTCCAGGAGGCCAACCGGGCCCTGCAGGACCAGATCCAGCAGCAGGTGCAGCCCCCAGGAGAGGCTGGTGTGAGGGTCAAGGTAAGGGACTGGTTGGGGAGGGGGATATGAATGTTACCCGTAATGCCCCCATCTCTCCCCAGGGACCCAGGGCACCTCGCTCCCACCTGCCCTTAACGCGAGGGAGCCTTGTCTGGACCAGCCAGGGTTCGGCTCCCTGCTGGCTTCGGCCACGGGCAGCACCAGGCCTCTCCTCAGCACATGCAGGCTAGCAATGACCCAGCATCCCCCTGAGTGCCCAGCCCCTGATCCACTGGATGCTCCCAGAATTATCAGACCAGCTGTTCCCAAAGAAACCCCCAGTGCCCACCCCTGCTTTAAAATGAGGCCTTAAGAACATCATTGCCCAACATGGATACAGATGACAGAAACCCCCTTGGGACTGTCACCTGATTTGCTGAGACTACCTCTGAGCCCATTTTCCCTGGCAGCTTGGGACTTCAGTATCCTGTCTTGTTGAGCCAGACATGCTAGCCTGCTGCAAACACAGACCCAGGTCTGAATCACGTCCCCCAAAAGCTGCAGACTTAACTGAAAACAGTTTAAGAAGTGTTCTCCCGCTGCTCTCTGCTCAGATTCCCTGCTGAGGGGGGCGAGCTGGGGGGACATCCTTCCTCTGGGTAGTGGGATGTTAGGTGTCAGTGTTCTGGCCATGGGGGGTTTCCGTGTTCTCAGGCGCTGCATTGATCTGGGTCGCTTTCAGCGGGTTCCTTACTGAACCATTCCTACCACTCCGTCCTGCGCAGCCCCAGAGCAAACTTGACACCCCCCCCACCCCCAACTGTGTAGCAATGAAAAGTATGGGGCGGGGAAATGGAGGCACAGCGAGGCATCAGAAAAATCCCACGTCCTCACAGAATCAAGGGTTCTGGGGGGGTCATAGGGATGTTTGAGGGCCCCAGTCATAGAGGTGCTGGGAGAAATGGGGTGAGCCCTGTTCCTGGGGTGGGGAATGGGACCTCGTTCTTGGGGTGCCTGTGCCGGGCAGGGAGACCTGGGCTCCTGCTGGTGTCAGGCTGGCCCTACTCAGCCTGGGACCGTTTCCCGGGGGGGCAGGGGGAGTTGGGCTGGTTCTGGTGGTAACTGTGGCTCAGTAGTGCCAGTGTCGTTCACAGGAGAATGGGGTCCAGCTGGAGAGGCCGGTGGAGCTGGAGGCCCTGCAGGGCGGCGGGGACAGCGGGTAAGAGCAGCTCTCGTGCTGGATGGGGTGATACAGTGAGGCTGGGAGACCCCCGCCGGTGCCTGGCCCTCCTTGCCCCCAGGCTGGGCGTCTCTTCCCCATTGCAGGGGAAGAGGGGGCAGGTTCTGAAGAGGGAACAACAGGAATCCTCCTTTGTGGACACTATGGGCCACGTCCTTCGTGGCAGGAATGACTGATTAATGTGTGGCAGGGGGGCTATGATTGAGGGGAGCAGAGAGCTCCCCAGGGGCTGAGCACCAGTCCCCTTGGGCTCGGATCTGCCGGGTACCCCTCACCGCCCCGCATGTCCTTTCAGCAGGCGGGACGCAGCCGAGCTGCTGCAGAGGAGGCTGAAGGAGACGGAGGAGGAGTAAGTTGCTTCCTGGCTCGGACTTGTGCCACTGGGGACGGCGCTGGCGCCTGCGTGTGTGTTAGGGGCTGATGCGGAGGCTATGCTGTGTGTGGGCGTGAGGGGAGGTGGGATGCAGGGTACTGTCAGCGCTTGGGGGATGGAGTGGGTCAGGTTTTGTGCAGGAGGCTGGGGTCACTCGGGGTGGGGGGGTTGATGGTGCATGGGAGGGGAATGCGGGACACTCAGCGTGGGGGGTAGATGGCAGGGCTCTCGGTGCTGATCCATCACCTCACTCTGCGGGTTCCCTGGCAGGAGCGTGGGGCTGAAGCAGCAGCTGGCATTGGTGCGGGAGGAGATGGCCAAGCTGGGAGCCAGGGCACAGGAGACTGAGCAGCAGGCCGAGCAGCAGCTTCAGGCCCTGAGGAAACAGCTGGAGGTAAATACAGCCCAAGTCATGGCCCCACAGGATGGGTGCTAGGCCCCAGCCTTTAAACAGCCCCTCGGAGGAACCCCGTAAGCATGCCCCCTGCCCCCAAGGGGTCCCCCTCTTCTGTCAGGGGAGGCCATGCAGCTTTATTGCCTCAGAGACAGAGCCCCCAGGCTCCGGCCCTCCGAGACAGACTCCTGGGAGAGACTTTTACACTCTGCAGGGACCCATACACCCCAGCCAGTTACGCCCAGCAGCCAGGCATTCTCCAAACAGAGCTGGGTTTAGTCACTTGGGTGCAGCTTTGGACGCCCTTCGGTCACCACAGAGAAGCCAATGGTGAGACCTGCTATTAACCCAGACCCATTGTCTTTCCTGCAGAACCTCCTGAGTCCCCAGGCTCTGCCTGCTGGAGTTTGCTGCTGTTAGGTGTTAATTGTTCAGTCCTTGGGCTCCCATTGACATGGGTCAGTTGCAGCCAGTCCTCCAGCAACCCCTAGATGTGACGCTCCCCCCACCTCATGTTCCCTGCTCAGACCCAGGAGCAGCTTTTTAACCCTTCTGCCCCCATTGGACAGCGATCTCTAGTCCAGTAAGTCACTGCCATGCATATCAGTCACCAACATTGTCAGGATATTCCCGCTTCGTCACCCACCCACATGTGCAAACACATCTGACACCAGCCCCTCCTCCAAGGAGTCAGGGAAGTGGGAAAGGGAGCGGGTGGGGGCTCCATCCCAGCCTGCGGCAGCCTCACCCTCTCTGGATCTAGGTCCCCCAGGTGGTGTGGCCTGGGCTAAGGTGGGGTCCCTTCCCTCCCTGCAGCAGCTGACTGAGGACAGGGCCTCGGTGAAAGCCCAGGTGACCTCACTGCTGGGGGAGTTGCAGGAGAGCCAGAGCCGGCTGGAGACCTGTATGCTGGAGAAGCGGGATCTGGAGGAGAAGTGAGTGTGTGCACCCGTGAATTTCCCCCCTGATCTGGGGCTGGCGGCAGGTTTGGCTGCAGCCACTGATCTGTCCTGGGAGGCTGGAAGTCGGATGCAGGCCTTGGCCATCTAGGGGACACGTGGGACTGAGACCCCTGCTAATGTTGGCATCTCTCCCCTGCCCGGTGCGCCAGAGCACAGGCTGCTGCCGAGCGGTGCTGCAAGCTGGAGCGGGAGGCCGAGGCGCTGCACAAGCAGCACAGCGTGCAGACGGACCAGCTGCGCATGCAGGCCCAGAACCTGGAGACGGCGCTGCGGGTGGAGAGACAGGGCGCCACAGAGGAGAAGTGAGTGGGCGTTGGGAACGGGGGCCATGGAGCAGAGGAGCGTCTGTTTGTCTGGGGGGCAGGGGGAATGTGCCACGGAGATGAGTGGGAAGGAGAGTTGGGGCGGTATGGGAGCCAAGGGGGTGGGGAGCTGCCTCTAACCTCACAATTATCCCTCAGGAGGAAGCTGGCCCAGCTGCAGGCAGCCTATCACCAGCTCTTTCAGGATTACGATGGGCACGTGAAATCCGGCCTAGAGAGCGAGAAGAAGAGCCAGGTGGGTGTAGAGCTGGTTTGGGGGGGAGGGGGTCTGCTTGGCTGGCTTCCATAGCTGGGGCCAGCCCTGCCCCCCGGGTGCCCTGCTGCTCAGTGTTCTGTGAGCCTCTCCCCCACTCCAGGGCATGGAGCTGCACCTGGAGGAGCTGCAGCAGCAGCTGCAGCAGGCTGAGGAGGCACTGGTGGCCAAGCAGGAGCTGATTGACAAGCTGAAGGAGGACATGGAGCAGCACAAGGCTGTGCTGGAGACCATCCCTGTGCTGAAGGCCCAGGTGGGTGCAGGGAGGTGGGGGGTGGGGGAACTGTGCGTGTGCGCACGGTTGCTGAAGGGCAGGGTCACTGGTGCCTCCCCTGCAGGCTGATATCTACAAGGCGGATTTCCTAGCGGAGCGTGAGGCCCGGGAGAAGCTGCACGAGCAGCGCGAAGATCTGAAGGAGCAGTTTGAGCAGCTACGGCGGGACTATGACAAGCTGATAGCAGATGCTAATGGAGCCACCTGGTGAGTGTTCTCTTTGTCAGTGTCCATTCCCCAAACACCTGCCCCTTGGCCTGTGGGCCCTGTGAGTGGGTAAGAGCTCAGTGCAGCTTTCTGTCTTGCTAGATGAATCTGCAGACAGCTGCTTTGTCCCCTGGGGCTCCTGTGGAGAGCCAGCGTGAGATGCTGGTGACCAGCCCCAGCCATGCGTCCCATGGGGGTTTGAGCCCCACTCTCATGCTCACGGGGGGAGGAAAGGGATGCTGAAGTTCTGCTTTGACCCCCCCCCCCCACTTCTAACCTCTTGCTGTTTTGAAAAGGACTCTGATGGAGGAGATGAGGAACCGCCATTCGGAGGGGCGCCCACCTGTACCCCAGCCAGGTGAGTCTTGAAACTCTCCCCAGGTGGGGAATGCTCATGGCCCAGGCCTGTAGGGGGCATCAGAGGAGTGGGCACTTGCGTGGGAAGGTGCCGATCTTCGGGACAGTAACTTTCTCTCTCCCCCTAGTTTACAACATGGCCCCAGTACCTTTCCAACCCCTGCCAGCTGCAGGGCGCAGGCGAAGTATCCACCAGGAGCAGCCGGATTTCTGCTGTCCCAAGTGCCAGTACCAAGCTCCGGACATGGATACACTGCAGATCCATGTGATGGACTGTATCAAGTGATGCCCATGAAGGAGGAGGAGGCTGGGGTCGAGGGGGGTGCCTGGCCTGCTCCACTCTTTGCTTCCCCCCCATGGCACTTGCTGTTCTGCGACACAATGCTGCAAACTGGGTTCACAGCTGTCTTGAGCCAGTTGGAATGGACAGTCTGTGGGTACCATGGGGGAGGATGGGGTTTGCACCATTGTTTCTGCCTTACGTGAAACTGAATGTACCTGATTTGCTGTAATTCAGGGATTTGACAATCTGTGGAGACTGACAGATTAGTGGTGGGGAGCAGGGGTGCTGAGAGCTACTGAACCAAACTTTAAACCCTGTATATAATGGAAACCCCTTCAAGCTGGGGTGTGGCAGCACCTGGTGGAGGGGCAAAGAGGGGCAGCAGGAACGTTTCACTGTTCAGCTCCTTTTTAAGCACCTTATTGCTAACCCTGCAGCATTTGCAGAGTGTGGCGGAGAAGACAGATTCCCCTGCTCAGTTTCAGGCTGTCGCAGCATCTCTCTGCTTTCCTTCTACACTGTGCTTTGGTTATTTAACATTATGGTCCATGTGCTGCTCTGAAAGTCAGACTCTTGCCTTAATGTAAATTCTATTGAAACTTAATGCAGAGGGAGGGGAGTTGAGTGTTTACAGATATTGCTGTATTGAGCCCCCCTGCCTGGTGTTGCTAAAGCATCCACAAGATGGAGAATCTGCCCCTTTTCTAAGTACTTGGTATTTTCTTCTTGTTAATGTGCTTATACACTGTGTGAATCTAGCTCAATCACCAGGTCTGCCTTCCTCTACCATGGAATAACAGAAATATCCAAAACACAAGTGCTGGCACTAATGAGGGGAGGGGAGAAGACAAGATAGCAAATAAAATTCAGTGTTGATTAATCCCAAGAGCAGCTGTTTTACACACACACCGTGTGTAGCAAGGCCTATGTTTTCCAAGGTGCATTCGTTTGCATTTATGGGTCATCTGGAAGCTATGCCCCCTCACTCTTTAAGCACCAGAGCAGGGCAGGCAGTAGGGGTCTGGGTCACTTGTGTCAATCCTTAGTCCAGTACTATTCAAGTCTTGTGAAATAGCGAAGGAGCTGCCACAATGCTCCACCTATGCACATCGTTGAGGCCTGAGTGGAAGTGCTGCCTCCAGTTCTGGCAGACACTTTGCTCTCTTTGAAAAGGTTATGAACACTGGTCACTTTTGGAAGTACTTTTTTTTTTTTTTTTAAATTAACCTTAAAGTAAAATTAGGAAGCTACCAACTGGTGGAGTCTTATGTCTAACATGTTGCTTATAAACTGACAAAAGATCCTGTAGATTAGCAAAAAAAAGTATTGAATACACTGAGTATAGCCTCATGGTGCATGCTTGCAAGCTTATGCAGTTAGGCTAAAAAAACAACAAGGAGTCTGGTGGCACCTTAAAGACTAACAGATTTATTTAGGCATAAGCTTTTGTGGGTAAAAACCTCACTTCTTCAGATGCATAGAGTGAAAGTTACAGATGCAGGCATTATATACTGACACATGGAGAGCAGGGCATTACTTTGCAAGGGGAGAACCAGTGTTGACAGGGCCAATTCAATCAGGGTGGATGTAGTCCACTCCCAATAATAGATGGAGTTAGGCTAGTTAGCATAGAGGGTACTTGGCTCGCAAAAAAGTATTAAACATCTTCTCATGCACAGCCTTTTTCAAGGCTCTTTGCCAGCTGCTTGCTTTGCAGCATTTATGTCTCATGCCCTAATGAAACCACACCTGGACTCCGAGCTTGGCAATTTGACTCTCCCTAGGGCAGCAAGTCCAGCCAGTGGTGGGGGTTTTCCCTGCCCCGCAGCAGGGGCCGGGTTGGGGTGGGTGTTACATAATCGGCAATCGAGGCCAGTGGGTGTGACTAGCTGAGTGGGCTCACCCACCCCAATTGGCTACATTGCAGACCAATCAGGAACCTCACTGTACTTCACTTGTGGCTCATTGCTCCTGCCCCATGCACCTCAGCCACAGTGGGCACTTCTATTAGCAGCCCCCTGCAGCCAGGGACTGAGCCTTATCTGGTGTCACTCTGTGTTGTTTCCCCCCTCATTGGACCCTGACTGGAAGGACCTAGCCCCTCTGTGTACAGCTTATGTAGACCTTCACAGGCACCCCCCCCACCCCCCAAAATTTCTGAAGCATAAAGAGGGCAAGTGAACCCCACCATAGCACTCCCCACCCCTCCACTAAGTGTTCCCCTCCTTTAAAGTGACAGAGCCACATTCCCCCCAGCCCCCCACTTTGGGGCCAGTCTCAGTTATCGCTAGGGAGATTTAAAATAAAAAGTCTGGTTTGTATGTTGAGGTTTAAAAGCCAGGCGCATTCAGCAAAGCACATCACCGTGCAAGTGGCCTCTGGGGTTACAGTGCCAGGGACCCTGCTGTTCCAATCTGATTAGGGGCATGGAATGGCTTCCATATGAGGAGAGAATAAGAAGACTGGGACTTTTCAGCTTGGAAAAGAGATGACCAAGGGGGGTTAGGGTAGAGGTCTATAAAAGCATGACTGGTATGGAGAAAGTAAATAAGGAAGTGTTATTTACTCCTCATGACACAAGAACTAGGGGTCACAATATTAAATTAACAGCAGGTTTAAAACAAAAGGAAGTATTTTTTCACACAATGCCCAGTCAACCTGTGGAACTCTGTCAGAGGATGTTGTGAAGGCCAAGACTTATAACAGGGTTCAAAAAAGAACTAGATAAACTCATGGAGGACAGGTCCATCAATGGCTATTAGCCAGGATGGGTAGGGATGGTGTCCCTAGCCTCTGTTTGCTAGAAGCTGGGAATGGGCAACGGAATAGATCAGTTGATGATTTCCTGTTCTGTTCATTCCCTCTGGGGCACCTGGCATTGGCCACTGTCAGAAGACAGGATACTGGGCTAGATGGACCTTTGGTCTGACCCACTATGGCCATTCTTATGCCAAACTAGGGTGACACCAACACACCGGGGAACTGAGATCAGATTACAGGCTAAATTGGAGTTAACAGGATTACACGGAGGGACTCAAAAGCAAAATACAGCCCCCATTCAGAACAGCTGCAGCACTAAGGCCCCCATGGGGCAGCAGGGTGTGCTCTGCTGCTGTGGTGATTCCAACTCCTCCAGCACATTCAGGTGCATCATTGCTGGCTCCCTTTTAGGGCCTTTTACCTCCTGTTGCATTGTCCCAGCAGCCTCACCAGTGTGAAGAACTGACTGCAAGGAACAGCGCACTATTTTCTTACCGATGTGTGAAAGGGGGGGATTTTTGCTTCTTTTTTAACACACCCTCCACTAGCTGAGTGCAGCTTCCTCTCTCTACAGCCAGGAGGATGGGAGGGGTGTGATGATAGCTCAGTGACTGTAAGTGGAAACAAAAGTTTGTTAACAGATGCATTGGGGGAGGAAAGGGAGAGAAAGGCAACATTTTGGTACCAACGCTTCCCTATTCCAGCATCAAGGATCAAAAATTCCCCCACAGCAGAACACAGCCCTAGCGAGAACGTTCCACCAGGGATGGCAGCAGCATCGCAACCCTCTGAGATGGCATCTCCAGCTAAGGTGTATTATGGAGCACAAATATGTGAGAGTCCACTTTTGAGTGCCAGTTGGTGATGGGCCAGCATTGATGCCACAACCTGCAACGAGAAGAACGAATTAAAAGGAGACCAGGGTGCAAGAGTAACATTCCAAGCAAGAACAGGACCATGTTGCTAGCAGGATTACAGGAGCACATAGAGGCCCCTCTTAGAGGGCTGTCCCTTCACCCTCCCACTTTCCTGGTTCTTGTCACACAGACAGCAAGCAGCAAAAGACCAGAAGTATGAAGCACAGACAATGCAATGTTTATTGGGGTTAGTGTCCAAGCAAGCATATTCCAAAGCCCTTCACACCAGTTGGGCTTATCTCTATAGGCCGATAGAGTCTGTTCCCCAGTGTTTCCTTCCCAGCTCTGACGCCGCAGAGCCTTGCCTGTGTCCCTGTTCCCGATTCCCTTTCTTCCACCCCTTAGCAAACAGGATTTCAATTTCCCTTTCCACTTCCTGTCTGACCACAGTTTATATAGTAGTAATCTCAGCTATACATTAACCAATCATTTTACTGAAATCTATCTAACCAATCCTAACATAATTCTCTAACCAATTATATCCCATTACCCTAATTAACTCACACCTAGCAAAATTAATTATACATCAGACAGAAACAATTAGAGAACCCGACAGATTAACAATAGAAAAGTGGGGGGGCCATAAAGATAAAACATACAGAAATGAGGGTTTCACAACCACAACTATTGAGAAGTGATTTCTTGCCAGACAGGAGGCGATCAAACTAAGTTTTCTTTAACCATCTTTATCTGGTGGTGATAGGCACTACCAGGACAGGATTGTATTCCTAACAGCCCAACAGCACCTTATTTCAGTGTGGCTGGTTTGGGAGGTGAGGATGTGACCGTTCGCTTCCCAGCTTATGGCTGCCCCTGCTGCTTAGCCAAAGGCCTTAGCCTAAGAACAAGGCCTCAGACTATCCTAGTGAGAGACGGCCCAGACACAAGCGGACTGTGATTTTGATTCTTTGTTTTATACCCCTGTCACTAGCTAAGTGATAAAAATACACCTAAGTTCTTAAAGTATAGGCCTTTACAGGCAGGCCTGAATATCTATATTCTAACAGCCCCACTATTAAGTTTATGTTAATAGCATTGTGGTAGCACCTAGCGGTCCCAACTAAGCTGAGGGGCCCCATCAGAGAGTGCACACCAGGAACAGAGAGCTGAGCTAATATGATGTAGAATTCTATGACAGCCTCCTCTTTTCCCTGCACCTTAGCTCAGATGAAAACTCTACAAGGAGCGTTAAGACCAAACTCTGGCCTTTGGTTCTGCAGAGTCACAATCAGGGCCAGTGTGTGTAAAACACAAATTGCTGGTGTTACTAGTTCCCAGTCAGTTCAAAGACAGAGCCACAGTCAACCCCTTAGTAAACAAACAATACACACAGCATACACCCTCAACAGCATTTGGAACATTTATAGATATCTGTTTACTACCTATTAGGTAATAACAGTGCTGCTGTTCCCCATAAAGACTGTCCCACTTTGTTGCTATTATGCACAGTCCAATGCACGACTTCAACAAAACATTTACATTTCTATACCTTAGCCCATTCATATGAACACATCCCGTCTGCTCAACTTCTCACTCTGCAGCCTGCCCTGAAGTGCAGCATGGGTCCCAGGAAGCTCCACAGCTGGAGAAGAACAGCAGCGTCTCTGCGCTTTTCCAAACTCTTCCGAGCCTTGTCCCCAAGCACAGTCTGGGATCCTCATGACTACCAGCTTCAGGTTAGCAACTGCGTGGTCTGCTCAGGTGCTGGCGAGGGGGAAATCTGTAGCCTATATCCAAAGTGGTGCAGGCTCTGGGACCAGGATATAACACCTCCCATTGCCTGGGCGCTGACCTCTCTCCACACTCCCCACTAAGGCAGATGAGGTCTGACAAACCCTCCCCTCACTCGACTCTACGTTGGTTTCTCTTGCACTGAGCTATGAGCTCCCTGCTTTAAACTGGGACAGTGTCTTGGTCTAAGTCCCACAGGCTCTGTAGCCTCTAGAGCTGCCGGCTCTCCCTCCAGATCCATAGGACACACTTGCCTAGTGTATGCATTCGCCAGCAGTACAGCTGGAATAGCACTTACCTGCATCCAAAATGATCCGGGTGCTGGGACCAGCCCACACAGAAATCACCCACATTGACTGTCTGCAGAGTCCACAGCGCTGGCTTTAACTCCCATGCATGTAACCTTCCCTATGCTCTGACCGGCTCAGCTCGGAGGGTGAATGGGTGAGGCTTGCAAGACTACATGCCCTTAATGGAAACTTCTTGTGCAGCTTCAGAAACAACTCCTGAGCATCTCCAGTGACTGTCATGCCCTATTTGTGGGTGTTTCTTGGCTGCCAGATGAGTCTTCACGCCCTGCCCAACTGTGACTGGGCCCAATTACACAGTATGCATTATTAGCAGCACTAGGGTAGCTGAGCTCAGAATCTCATTTTGCCAGGCACTGCACAGTCCTTGACCCAAACAGCTCAATTTGAATAGACACAAGGTGAGAAGGGGAAACAGGCACAGAGCAGGGAAT